ATCAGAGGTTAAGTGAATTGTTGGTTGAAGTATTAGCCGGTCGTATTTTTTTTTTTTGGTGTTAGTATTTACTGTAAATATGAGATTTATAATTGTTATTTTAGGTCTAAGAAGTAAAGTTAGGCTCTAAAAATTGCCATTTGTTATAATATCAGGTGAAGTGAGTTTAAATGCTGTAAGGCTTTCTCGTGAGTTGAATGCATGTGTGTGTACCAGATTTACTTCTACTTTATTCTTTGTATTACTTGATGCCTTTTAGTAAGTACGGTTTTGCTATGAAGCCAACAGTTGGCTCCATAGTGGAGCCAACTTTCTATATACAACAAATAAATCTACCATATCAATAAAATTATATTAATATTATTTAAGTAATTAGAAAATATGGTAAGTTTATTTATTGTATATAGAAGGTTGGCTCCATTATGGAGCCAACTATTGGCTTCATAGCAAAACCGTTAGTAAGTAATGTTTGGGAATTCCACTAACATTGATTTAAAGAATAATTTCTAAATTAAGTGATGACATGTTGATATGTACATGACTTTCAGGTTGCTCAATTGTGTTAATGTTTAATTCATGTTGCCATATTGTTCAATTTCCTGGCCTTAAGAAACTGAAAAATTATTGCGAACTGTGAAGCCTTACTAGGGGTTATTTTGCCTTGTTTTTGACAAATTTCCTGAACCTCTGATTGTTGTAGTTTAAGGGCAAGTTAGTTATAAGAATATTTTTGCCATAAAATGTAGGTGTTTGACGAGCCGAGCTCTCAACCTACACTTGTTGTTCGAGAAATTCTCTGTTATTATTCAGGTGGGTTGTAATTGTAAAATTTACTATGCCTTAATTAATTGTTTTTGTTGTAGTATGATCAATGTATGCATGTGAACCATGTAGCCTTCGATGTGAGCTGTAACACCCCACTTTGATTTTAAAGAAATTCCGGACTTTCTAAAAATCAGTAAATAATTTTTCGAGATCATTTTCGAAATCTAACGGGTGTTAAACAACATTTTTCATAACCCAGGTCTTATCTGGGCCCACGGGGATTCATTACCCGGTTTTCACAAATTTTTCATTAACCCAAATCATATCACATGACAAAATACTCAACATGATATATTCATACCTCATAAAAACCAAACATCATAAATAAGGGTCTATCAAGTATTCCCAACATCAAAACAAGTCATAAGTTTTTAATTAAATTTTCACAAGCCTCAACATAAAAGGTTCAACAAGACCTCATTTATTCTAACGGAAGCGAAATATATAGGCATAATCAATAGATCGACCCACTCGTCTTTCCTCGTCACCCGACACCTGCTTAACCTGCATCCGTGAAGAGCAGGTGGGGATGAGCACAAGATGAAAACGAGGTGCTCACCACTATGCACGTATAGCACAATAATGAATAATGTAAAGAAGGTATGGTTACAGCATGAACATAAATCAATTATTCTGTCACGTCTTTAAATCACATCACAACATATTACCCACGTGTACACATCTTTCATTAGCCACAGAAAGGGGATTCATTACCCTAACTCGTGGGGATACGTGCCATACAACAAGACACGGCCTTTCATTAGGTCTTACGGAGACTTACCTCGCAAGGGTAACCGTATTACATCGACGGGGACAACCGTACCGACGGCAGAATCGGCTCACGCCGATAGGCTACATGGTTTACATGCATACTTAAATCATACCAACCCAACATTAAAGTAAACACATACGGCATAGCAAATTTTATAAGTAAACCCACCTGGACGATAACAAGCGAAAGCACAACAATAACGGGTAGGCGGCGAGCTCGGCTCGTCAAGCACCTACATTTATTAAAATAATCCTATAAATGACTATTCCATATATGAACAAATTATCATAACAATTACTTAGTCCAACTAAGCTCACATAAGTATTTAATCAAGTAAATTCCATTTCCAAAAATACCACGTACGTTTTTCAAAACTTAACCCGGTCAGTGTTTTTGAAATCAACATAACTTTCAGTAAAAAAACTCGGATGAACATGATTTAAGTTGCACTAGAATCCTAAGACATGCATCTAGAATTCTTATGAAGACACAAAAAGCAAATAAGGTCTTTTACTAGGAATTAAATCATCAAACATTCAAAACTGAGTAGCAGTCAAAAATTGAGAACTTGTAACCAACCAGACTTCAGTAATTGCTAGATAACTGGAGCTACAGATATGATTTTAATGAGATTCAAAAACCAAGTTATAGCTAACTCAAATGTCTACAACCTTGCTGAAGACTATATGGGCAAATAATCACTATATAAATTAGTTTGGACACAAAATATTTGATTTATAAAATCTGCCCGAGACAAAATTTGTATATAAACAGCACATCCGTATTTGTCCTCTAAATCATGCTACAGACCTCTAAATTACATGATTCTGGTATGCTTCGAAATCTAAGAGATAGAACTACAACTTTTATCTAGAACACAAAAGTAGATAAGGTCTTTAAAATGGTGTAAAATCTACTAACATGTAGAATCAATTTTCTGCCAAAGTGTAAAACCCTACTTCATGTATATCTACAATCATATGAACACAACTCGAGCTATAGATATCACCTTAACATTAATACTATCTCATTAGAAAGCTAATCAACAGCCCTATAACTTTCATGAAGACTATAAATTCACTAGATCATATTATGACACCATAAACAGGCCAAACATTATATAAACTCATGCTGCGGGGTCCAGAAAAACTGCTTGTATGATAAATTTGTAAAAATCATAACTTAAACAATATTAATCGGATTATCGAAATTCCAAAGGCTAGAGAAAGATAACAAGACGAAATATAATGCATATGAAGAACACACTTTCATAAAACAATCCCTTCATATTATAACAGAGGCAACTTACCTCCTTCAAGAAAAACGAAAATGAGGAGAAATGAAAGGGATGTTGCTCGGTTCTTCTCCTTCTCTCCCTCTCTTGCTTGAACTCGGTTTTTCTCTCTTTTTGCTAAAGTTTTCTAAGTGTTAAACTCAACTAAACTTGTAATAACACCTTTAAAAGCTTAAGGATGAAAGAAACAAAAGTAATCAAAGATAGGTAAGAGTAGTTGGTCTTCTCTCATGCACATGTGATGTGAGGTGTTGACTTGAGTTGTCTTGCCAAGATTCTCAACAATGTGGAAGCTTAGTTGAACAAAAGGATCTTTTATAGCATCACATGTGGTAGGGAACAAGATTTGGATCAAGATCATGTGCTCACATGAAAAATAATATGGCTATGATCATTAATATGCTCTTTGTTTTGGTTATTACCTATGTTGTTCACTAAAATCCGAATTGATGGTCATTTTAACTTGTAAAAATAATGTTAAGCATGGTCTTGATGCATACTAAAGGGATTCAGAGGAAAAATACATTTTACGGAACCGAAATCGGACTTAAAATCCGACTATAACCGAAGATCGAAGAATTTGACTAAAATAATTTTTTTCTCTTCTAATTCGGTTTTTATGTTAAAAATAGCTGAAAATATTAATTATTAAGAGCTATCTTGGAACATGCTAAGAAAATGAGAATAATAAAATTTACGGAACCAAATTCAGACTTCAAACGAACGATTACCGTAAAACTGAAAATTTGACTAAAATTTGATTTTAACTCTTTTGGTTAAGATGGATGAAAATAAAATTAGAGAGATGACAATATAATATTCTTAAGGTCTTGTTGATTCGTTTTGATGTTCGGGTCGCAATGGTTCTAAAACGAATTCAACGAACAACGATTCGGCTTACGCAATTAAACCGTAAATTTAAACGACGATTGATAAAATAATTCGAACTAGCTGTATATTATCCACATAATAACATAATATATAATCACATAATCAAAGCATATAAATGATAAAATAAAATATCATTAATTAAAATAAACTCAGAAAAAATCTAATATTCGAACGGGGCGCTACATGAGCTATATTGGCCGTCGAACGGTTATCCCCGTAGCTATAGAATGTACCTTCGGGTAGTCTCCTTTATTATTGTTGACAGTCAGGGCGTGAGCCTTGGCTGGTGATCCTCGTATGTAAGGCCAAGGCAAAAGTTTTGGCATTCGGGGTGGATTATTGCTCCTGCTGGTCGGGCACTCGTTGTAAGGCCTTTGAGGAAGGCGTTCGATATATAGCTCGGCAGTAGTCTATTGTTATAGGTGTGCACATGAGACCATTATTGATTATTGATAGGAGATGGGACGGTTATTGATTCGTATACATGCTGCGACCATACTTAAATTATTTTCATTACTTATTGCATAGCGGTGAGCACCTCGACTTTCCTATTGTGCTCATCCCCACCTGCTCTTCATGGATGCAGGTTAGTTTATGTGGCACGGCGGAAGGGATGCGAGTGGTGGTCTTTAATTTGAATAAATGCTTCCGCTTTGAACTGAACTTTGATATTATTGCATTATTATTGATTATTGTTTTCTAGTATTGGAATATTGGAATATTGATAGGGATTATTTCCCTAGATCATTATTGGATTATTATTGCATTATTGGGATTTTATTATTGATTATGAGTATTGATAATTGCCGAGTATTGAAAAATTGATGTTTATTGATTATTGTTTTGAAAAAGAGTAGCGCCTCAAATATTGTTTTTTTGAAATCAATTTCGAAAAATTTATTCTGATTTTCGGTAAATAAAAGTGAGGCGTTACAGTTTGGTATCAGAGCCAGTCTGCGTTTCTGTAGACTGGTTTAAATATAAAGAGTTGATTATGTGATTATGTGTTTCGAATTCATGTTAAGACCACTCGCTCTCGTCGTGCCGGCTCAGGTACGAGTACTTGAATAACTTTGAGATTATTGCATATTGTTTGATTATTGATTATTGGAATAAAATTGGGGTTAGAACTAATCCACCTTTAAATTCGAACTCTAGTGTTGAACTCTAGATTTCTTTTATTATTGTGCTAAACTGTTCGACCCACTTTCAATGTAGAACTATGGCTCGTCGTAATGCTCGCAACCGTCAGCCTACTCCGTCTCCACCTCCGTCCCCATCCCCATCTCCACCTCACCAGCAGGCTCCCAATCCGGCTGGGACTCATCTCAACGTTGTGATTCAGTTTCGCCAGTTGACCCCGCTGATTTTCACCGGGGTCGAAGGGCCCGAAGCCGTGGCAGAGTGGATCCGTCAATTAGAGCAGAATTTCGATTTGCTGCAGTGCACCGACGCCCAGAAGGTCGTCTGTGGCCGCTATATGCTGAAGGGCGATGCCGCCCTATGGTGGTCCGGCTATTAGAGGTTGAGGCAGGTGGAGTTTAATGCCCTGACTTGGGATCGCATGAAGGAGGTGATCATGGAGAAATATTATCCTCAGAGTTATCGCATGAGGATGGAGCACGCTTTCTGGGATCTTACCCAGGGGACTGGTACCGTTGAGGAGTACGAGCGGGAGTTCACCCGCATGAGTGCCTTTGCTCCACATATGGTGGACACTGACCTGAAGAAGGCCCACAAGTTCCGAGATGGACTGAATCGAACTCTCCGTATGCATGTTGCTAGCTAGGGAAATCTTTCATTTGATGAGACTGTTATCCGAGTCGTCCAGCTTGAGAGTTATCAAATTCTCGATGCTTCCGTCCCTTCTGCTCAGCTAGTTCAGCTTATTTCCTCTGCGCCGCCCGGCTCTAGTTCGGATAAGAGAAAGTTTGATTCCCGCCGGGACAACCGGAAAGGAAAGCGTGGAGCACCAGACCGCCGCGACGTTCCACCAGTCACTCAGGGTCAGAACTCGAGATGCCCTAAATGTGGCCGCTATCACCCCAGAGATTGTCATTATGTCCAAAAGGTCTGCTTCAACTGCATGAAGCCCGGTCACTTCTTCAGCAACTGCACCGAGCCCCCGAGACAGCAGCATTACCAGCAGCCCCATCAGCAGTAGCAGCTTCCTCCTCCACCTTACCAGCAGCAGCAGCAGCAGCACATGCAGCCCCCACCACACCAGCAGAAGTCTGGGGGTCAGGCTCGGGTCTATACCATTGCTCACGACGAGGCGGCCAACAATGCAGGTACTATGTCTGGCATGATCTCCTTATCCAATGTGCCTATCTTTGCGTTATGTGACACTGGAGCTACTCATTCCTTTATATCCTCTCGATGCTTGGAGGCCTTGTCTATTGATAATGTGTGCAACTGTGACCCTCTCGAGGTTAGTCTAGCCTTGGGAAAGATTATTATTTCTGATTCTATGATTTCTAGTCTTCCAGTCAGTATTGGTGGGTGTGTTTTGGAGGCCGATTGCTATGTTATTGAAATGCGGGACTTCGATGTGATCTTGGGCATGGACTGGCTAACTCGCTATCGAGCCGACATCCGGTGCCAGGAGCGCGAAGTCACTCTCTTTCCCGCTTCCGATCAGCCTGTTATTTTCTATGGGGTGAAGTCGAGGACTGTGCCTCGAGTCATCTCTTCTATGCAAGCTAGGAAGAGCCTTTCTAAGGGTAGCTGTCAGAGCTATCTGGTTTCTATGGTATCCGAGGATGATTCTGAGAGGTCCCCGGAGAGAGTCTCTATTGTCTGCGAGTATCTCGATGTCTTTCCTGATGAATTGCCCGGAGGACCGCCCGACCGCCAAGTGGAGTTTACCATTGATCTAGTACCAGGAGCCGGCCCTGTTTCTAAGGCCCCTTATCGTATGGCGCCGAAGGAGCTTCAATAGCTAAAGGCCCAGATCCAGGAGTTACTCAATCTTGGTTTCATTCATCCGAGTGTCTCGCCGTGGGGAGCACCCGTCCTATTCGTGAAGAAGAAAGACGGATCAATGCGCATGTGTATTGACTATCGGGAGTTGAATACCCTTACAGTCAAGAACAAGTATCCCTTTCCTCGCATTGAGGATCTCTTCGACCAGTTGAGGGGAGCCAGCGTCTTTTCTAAGATCGACTTGCGTTCTGGATATCATCAGCTGAAGATCCGGGAGTCGGATATTTCTAAGACTGCCTTCCGTACCCGTTATGGCCACAATGAGTTCGTAGTCATGCCGTTCGGACTCAGCAATGCCCCGGCCGTTTTTATGGACCTTATGAATAGGGTCTTTCATCCTTTCCTGGACCAGTTTGTTATCGTGTTCATCGACGACATCCTGGTTTATTCCCAAGACATCAACCAGCACAAGGAGCATCTGAGGATTGTGCTGGGGACTCTTCGCCGCGAGAAGTTGTATGTTAAGTTCTCGAAGTGCGAGTTTTGGCTGGATCGTGTGGCATTCCTTGGCCATATTGTGACAGCGAGAGGCATTGAGGTGGATCCCAGCAAGATCGAGGCAGTGAGCAAGTGGGATACGCCAAGAAGTGCCGCTGATGTTCGTAGTTTCCTGGGGTTAGCAGGATACTACCGGAGGTTTATTGAGGGTTTCTCGAAGATAGCCCAGCCACTAACCAAGCTTACGAAGAAGGCCGTGAGGTTCGATTGGAGTTGTTAGAGGTATGCTGTAAAAGCTATGTTTTGCAGATTCTATCAATTCCATTT